TCACAATTACAAAGGCCAGTTCATCCTTTTATGATTTTAAATTATGTAGCTGGCCTGTTATAAGCTTTTTATACAGAAGTTTGGTGCATAAATGAGGATTTCTATATTTGATCGATACATGTGGTGTTCCTTCAGGTCCTCCCAAGTGGAGCGGTAGGTAGAACGTGTGTTTCATGCTCAGATTTGCATGTATAAGAGGTCTTAATTTTTGCAGATTGGCACGAGTTGTGTTTTTTTAACACTTTGAAGTGCATCTTAAGTGTAACCGAGTTCCGTTTAACCTACATTTAATGCAACTTTATGCGTTTCACGATTCTTCATGAGATATTTGTGTGGATCTTTTAAAAACATGTTTGATCTCTTAATGATATGCCTTGTGAAGTGTGTTGCTGATTGGTAGGCCTGGGCGAAAAATCGATTAAATGAATTCATTCGAATTCGTAAAAAATCGTAAATCCAATTAAAAAAAATAAAATCGGAGATTTTAGGCCATATCGCCCAGCCCTACTGATTGGTGTTTTTGATTGGATTGGATTTTCTAGTGTACTGATGCTTCAAAGCTAATAGACATGGATTAAAAATTCCAATTTTGGTTTCATGGGGTCTTTAAACTATACTAATACATGAGGAGTATGTATTTATTTTTATGCTAACAAATCTTTTTCAGCACCCCCGCCTCCTCCCTCGCGGGGCGGCCCGCCTCCCCCACCCCCTCCTCATACTTCCGGGCCACCACCTCCACCACCCCCAGTGCGGGGGCGAGGAGCCCCACCACCCCCTCCACCTTCAAGAGCACCCACGAGCGCTCCCCCTCCGCCTCCTCCATCCCGGCCAAGTATGGGAGCGCCTCCACCACCACCTCCCAGCAGAGGGCATCCACCCCCCCCTCCACCTGCCCCAGCCTCTATGCCACCTCCCCCGCCACCACCACCTTCATCTGGAGGAGCCGCCCCTTCTCCGCCTCCTCCTCCACCACCTCCTCCTGGACCTCCTCCACCTACTGATGTGGACGGAGGCCACGGCGAATCGACGCCATCGCCCATGGGCGGGAAGTCCGCTTTGCTGGATCAAATCAGGGAGGGCACACAGCTAAAGAAAGTGGAACAGAACAACAGGCCCTTGTCGTCCACAGGACGTGACGCACTGCTCGACCAGATTCGACAGGGCATCCAGCTCAAAACGGTGAGTGTAAACGCTTACCCATGATGCATCGCCTGCTCACCTGTCATTTAGCTTAAAAGGGTTTTAAACAACTAGTTACCTGTGGCGATTAATGTTCAAAACTGTACACAGAATATTTACATTTAATTTGTCTCTATATAATTGTTTATATATATTTTATTGTAAGACATTGCTACTTTCATTCAGCAATGCATTTCAATTGATCAAAAGTGAGAGTAAAGACATTTTATAATTAGTGGATCACAAAACTGATATTATGGTTTTTGATTCCTTAGATCTATAAACGTCTACGTCTATACCCTTAGCCTAACTAATAAAGTTCAAACATTATTAAAGGCAAGTGAACGGTCAGTAATGTTTGGCTTTTTTAATTCACTACTTACAAGCATTGATAAATACAGTATAACAAGGTTAAAAAATAAAGTCTAACTGTTGTATATTTTGTCCAGATATGGAATAATTAGGCTTAAAATGTAAAATATCACTATAGTGTTTACTGTATAAATTTAATATAGATTAATCTTTGTTAAAGCCGTGTTTTGCTGTTTGATTACCATTAATGACAAATTTATAGCCTGCTGTCACTTTAAGACCGAATGCACTGATCCAATATAATCATACACATCCATCCAATTTATTCCTCAACTGTCATAACAGCGTGCGAGTATCACATTAATGATGAAACTTGTATAAAATAGAAAAGATTGGAAAGTTTAGTTAGTTCTGAAGAAAGATCTATTATCATTTGCTTGTAGACAGATTTGATATTTTGAATCTAATGCAATCAGACACTTTAAGTGTAACTCAAATCTCCATGTACTTTTTTTATAATATCAATCATTGTATAATCTTCTAGGGACAGCTATTTATCTGATTGCTTTATTCTTAAATGTTCAGGTATCAGATAATGACTCAGGACCACCCACCCCTGCTCAGTCAGCGGGCATTGTTGGAGCTCTGATGGAGGTGATGCAGAAGAGGAGCAAAGCCATCCACTCCTCAGGTAAGTGCCTGTTTCGCTCTCTCAAAGGTTTGTCCTAAACATGCCACTCAACGGCTGCAAATTTGTTTGGTTTTTTTCCCTTTCGGTTTGACGGTTCCAGTATGATCACTTCAGCTTACATGCTAGAAATGCTCTACCGTTGCTTTTTATGATGGCGTGTCACGTTAAAGGAGTAGTTCACTTTTAAAAAAAACTTTTGCTGATAATTTACTCGCCCCCATGTCGTCCAAAATGTCCATGTTTTTCTTTCTTCAGTCGAAAAGAAATGAAGGTTTTTGATGAAAACATTCCAGGATTTTTCTCCATATAATGGACTTCACTGGGAACCAAACGATTCAAGGTCCAAAAGACAGTTTCAGTGCAAACTGTTCAAAGGGCTTTAAACGATTCCAGACGATGAAGGGTCTTATCAAGCGAAACGATCGCTCATTTAAAAAAATAAATAAGAAATTTTAAGTTTTATAAGCTCAAACCCTCGCCTTGCTCTGTTCTGTGACGCTCGTTTGTGACTCTCCTGTTTGAACTCGTTCATCAAAATGAACGAATCTTTTTTCGAGTAATTTGGTTCATTCAACGAACAAAATGAAATAATTGACTCGGAAAAACAGGAGAGTCACGAACGTGCACTTGGTTTGGTACCCAGTAAAAAATACTGGAATGTTTTCATCAAAAACCTTAATTTCTTTTCGACTGAAGAAAGAAAGACATGGACATCTTGGATAACATGGGGGTGAGTAAATTATCAGCAAAAGTTTTATCTTAAAAGTGAACTACTCCAAAAAATGAAAATGATCCCATATTTTACTCGCCGTAAAGCCATCCTAGATAAATCTTCTTTTAGCCAAACACAATCAGAGTTATATTGAAAAATATCCTGGCTCTTCCAAGCTTTAAAATGAATACTGTGATTTTGAAGCCCAAAAAACGCATCCATACGGCTCCAGGGGGTTAAAAAATGTCTTCTGAAGCGATAATTTTTTTTGTAAGAAAAATATCCTCTAGTCATATACACCTAGGATGCTTTGAGGGTTTTTGGTTGAACTAACCCTTTATACTCCGTCGAGGCCCTTTTTCATTTAGTTCGTTGTCAGTAAGTATGGAGTTATTTATGCATTTTTTTTGGGCCCCCAGATGAAGATGAGGATGATGACGATGAGGAAGACTTTGAGGATGATGACGAATGGGATGATTAATCCCGCAACGCTAACCCCACCCAGTAGAGTAAATGTTACTAAATTCTCGCTTCCCCAAATTTTACTCTCATTCTTTTTTTCTTTTCTTTTTTTCAAAATCGCTGTATATTTTTGTTGCCTTTTTTTGTTTTTTAATAATCTGTGCAATACCTCATGTAATCTGTAAAGTTGTCATTTATCCTCTGTAAAATAATGTCCTGGAAAATAACCATGTGAAGTTTTATGCCAGGATTCATGGTTTGTTGACCTGAATGTTTTTGTTTCCCTGTGAGTGGGGAAAGGGAGATGGACGGGACGCTTGATGTCCTTATTAATTGTTGATTAATGATTTAGATAACACTATTTTCATACCCTACTTTTCTGTACCTTCGATTTTTCTTATTCAAATCCTAGTTTAGCATTCTTAGATTTGGTAAGAGGTTCTCCTATCAGAATATGTATGTCCCCTGTATTGTTTCCCTTGTAAATGTACACCAGGCTGATATATTGAGGCTATATATATTTTTGCACGAATAACAAAAGGAAATTCACTACAGGATGAGAACACATTGGCTGAACACTAAATATGATTTCTGTGGTAATCACGATCAGCGTTACACTACATTGCACATCACAAAGTAGACCGTTTGGAGTTATTGATTTCACTTTATTAACAAGAAAATAATATACAGTGAATTCAAACCGGTAAAAGTCATGGGTAAAGCTTGCTCCTGAATGTGAAAAGCCATCGATTCACAAATATAGAATTTCCAGTCATATCAAAAAGAAAAAAAAAGAAAAGGAAAAAAAAAAACACTTCACAAAGTACATTTGTTAGAAGCTTTTACAGGTCAATGCTTGACTGACAGCTACGTTTAAGGTCACGGAGAAAACAAACACTTGTGTACAATTAATGCTGGTTTAACAGTATTGTCTGTCTGAACTGAATTTTCTGTCCTTGTCTGTTAAGGATAGTGCTGAAAGATTTGTACAATTGACATCAAATCTTACAAAAGGGTTGGAATGTGGAATGAAAACACTAAATTCTATACTTAAATAAATGGTAATATTTACAAATCTGAGATATGGGGCTTTTTTTTTTTACTAGCGTTGCCATCTTATATATAATTGTGTACGTGTACATCTTTTTTCTTTGGCTTAATTATTTGATCGAATCAAACAGAATGAACCAACAGCATGACTCATCTGTTGGAATCAAATTTATGGGAATGAGCTTTCAACTAATCAAAGCTATTGAAATGTCAACTATTTTCTTTTCTTTTCTTTTTTACCATATGGTGTAAGTTATAAAGCAGCCTTCCAAATTGTACTTATTGAGCATAATATTTAGTTGGTGAAAAGAAATGTGAAAATATGCTATTATTAAATATGTATGTATAAAAAAAATAGGTCAGTTTTTAACACTGGAAAATTGTTATTTATTATATTGATTAATTTTATCAGAGCTGTTTCATACCTCAGGAACAATGATGATTGGTGACCTGCAAGAAGAAAAAAAAGAAAATGCTGGTCATTTTAATGTTGCAACTACCAAATATATTACAGAAAACAGTCCGTATCTGTCAGAAAACAAGGAATAGTTCTCGCAAAAATAAACTGTTCATTTACTCATCGTCCCATTGTTCTAAACTAAAGTCATACAGGTATGAAATGGCAAGATTTTCATTTTTGCATACAATATCCTTAATTTTCTTTAATTATTAGCATCAAATAGCATGTTTTCAAACAGATTGGCATGTGCATTACAATGGAAAAATGTCCATCTATTAAATTTGAACTAGAAAGTGTTTTCCACTGCCTGGCTAATAATTTCATAGTAACTTAAATTGTCTCAGTCAGGAAAAACACTGAATGAATCATTCAGTTCTTGGTATAAAATGTAATTATTGCTTAAATTCTTGCAATCAATTTCCAAGATACCCGATCTGGCAGGGTTTTTCACCCTTAGTTCTTATTCTGTCCAGCTATATTGCAATATAATTGGGTACTGTGTTTTTAAGACTTGGCTTCTCCATGTCCTGGACAAAATAATAAACACCTTACCCTTCGTAGTGTACCAATGCTGCTGCCACGAATGGCTGCCAGTAGATCATCACGTGTCGACCCCTGGGCGCCTCCCAGATTATTTGTGTCATCTTTTCTCCTCAAAGGTAATATTTTTTCATCTTGAATGTTCTTGCCATGTTTGTCCCCTGTGAGTTTGTGTCCTTTATTTGCATTAGCCTGGTTGTTATCCATGGCTGTTTCTTCTTGTTGCTTGACCATTTCAGCAATTTTCCTAGTCGGCACATTCTTCACACTGTTTGGCTGACTGTGAGGTTGTTGTAAATGAGAAGAGACCAAGTTCTGCTTCGTTAGCGTCGTGTCCTTGTCGGTCGGAATATGGAATTGAAAAGACTGCGTGTTGTCCGTAGTCTCCCATGTGTTTGATTGTCCTGCACTTCTTTCCAAATTGCCTTGCTCTTTCCTTTGCTGTAGCCGCTTTTGCCTCTGGCTGTCCTGGTTGCGAGTTAAAATGGCAGTTGCGCTCATCCTTGGGCCAGGTAAGTCAAAGTGGTAGCCTAGTTTCAACAGGGTGGTGTTTTTCCTCAGCAATCTCACCATCTCCATCTCCACTTGGCCTCCACAGATATGCCGCTGGTTGTGGAATCGGAGCTCCACCAGTGTGGTGTTGTACTGAAGCGACCCAATCAAAGCCAGAATACCTTTGCCTGAAATGAAGTTAGACTCAACATTAAGGTTAGTGATGCTGCAGTTCTTCTTCAGCATTTTGGCCAAGGCCAAAGCTACTTGGTCATCCCCGTGGGTGTTGGCAATGCTGAAAACCTCAACGTGAGTGTTTGAGATTAAGGCATTAGCAAAACTCACTAAAACCCCCTGGGATATGTTCTCGATGTTGTTTAGGTTGACTTCACTCAAGGAGGTGTCATTACTCAAGATGTTCTCCAAGGTCTTATCAATATCAGTGGGGTTGCTACTTGGTCTATCTGGAGAAATGTGATGGTGGAGGGCAACTTCATTGATGCCATTAGGTTTTCGAACACGAATGCAATCCAAGTCCACAAAGTTGCAATTGCTTGACCTAACTTTTTTCTCCCCATCACCCCCCTTTCTAAACCCCTCATTTTGTTGCTCTTCATTATCCTCAGGCTCTTCACTGCCACATTCCTGTTCGCTCTTATCTGTCTGGCACTCATCCATGCTGTCCTGTGTCACCATAGAAAGGAAAACAAGGTTGAGCAATGGCATACCTCAAGCAATGAATCTTAATTAAGAAAGATTATCAACAGCTGAGACAACTGCACAAGCAATAGCTATGTTTTATGGAGGCAATGTTGCTCTTACCCAGTTCATGATGCTCTCATTAAAGAAATTTCTATATTTCAAATTATGAACTGCTCTTTGAGTTCCACTATTCTTGCAGTAAGCTAATCCTAATTATCCCACAAATCCCTCAGGAGCTAAGTTTGACAGTCCTGACTTAACTTTAACACTAATACAGTGATGTCCTGTTGAGGTTTTTTCCCCAACCTTTATTAAATAAATCAGGAGTACCCTTCGGGAGCAGAATTGAGGACACGCCTGGCCTCAGTGGACAACTCAGATACTTAGACTTAATTCATTAAGTCTTTAAAAAAAAAAAACTCATTCTTTATCCTTTTATGAAGCTGTAGATTTTCTCATCTCCCTGCTTGTGGAGACCTCCCATAGAAATGGGACTTCTTGAGTTCCCATCAAGTCTATTTTGACTAACATCATTTTATGTTGTTTTGTGGATACAGATGCTCTCTCAGAACATCTCAAATAGTACCATTAGGGGTGTGCAACTTGTCACTTGGTCAGCACTCTACAAACATTACTGGTTAACTGGTACCTCAAAGTTTAAACATTATTCAATTGCTGAATTCAGACTCTACCTCTAGCAATCTGTGAGTCTCGTCCTCCCAGTACTTCAGCAGAGCCTCTCGGCAAAAAGCGCCCGTTGGCCTCTTGGCCGTCTGGTCCTCTTGCCTTAGCCCAGTGGGTATGTTCTCATCCGGTTCCATTTCAGCCATAGCCTTCTCCAGCTCCTGGAGCTCCTCGCTGGTCAGGGAGGCCAGAAGTTCATCTTCATCGATGTCCTCATACTTTCCAAGCTCTTTTCGGTACCCAAAGTTGCTCATACTTGTAACACTATGTCTCCTTTGTGTGCATGAACTCTTACTCCGACTTGTATCTGGGATTAGTGTGAGTTTGTGTGTGGGTGCACTAGATGCACTGTTTGTCTAATCTGGGAAGCTGGTGGAGGAACTTAAGGGGAGGAGGGTGCAGCACAGAGTATCTGCATATGATGTTGCTTATCCATGGGGACACCAAGATTAGCTTACAAGAAGAATGTGAGTTCATTTTGTAGTGGCGAGACATGTAAGGCCAAAAACAACATAGGAGCTGCCCCTTTAAGGAGCCCACTGAAAGTAATCTAATTTGTGTTAAATATCCATTAATGCCAATGGTTTTGAAGTTAAATGCTAGATAAGCTCATACAAGTGTGGTGTCCAAATGCTTTTCTATATTATATATGCGTTTAATTTTTGTTTTGGCTAAAATCACATTTGAATTGACATTTTTCATTTTGTTCTAGCCTGGGGCATCTTCATATGTACAAATAAAATGGAAAAATATTAGATTTTTACAGTTTTGTTTTTCTTATGTCAGTCCATCTTGTCTTTCACCCCAATTGCACACTCGATTTAACCAATAATCATACATTATTTTTTGAATTGTGAATATATTGCTGTACATAGTCTGTACAATGCTGACTTTTATTTTTAACAGTGTAATTTAAAGCTAAGTCCAAAGTCACATGTAATAATACTAATAAAACTGATTCCATGTAATAATAATAACAATATTAAGTTTTATTAAATCTGTTGATGTTATGATGAACATGCCAAAGAGGGCTGTCTCATGCAGATGGGTCATTTTAGGAGATTGTCCACATTAGATCAGTATCTGATGCTGTGAAGGTCCAACCCGATCTCACGAGAGACCTCACTCACACCATTTTTGCTCAATCATACATATTTTATGAATTGGCCAATGAATGAATGCCCCTGACCCCGCCCCTAAACCTACCCATCACGTGGGTTTGGACAAATCGTACGAGTGACGAATCAGCCATTTTTTTAATCACTCGTACGAATTGGTCGTGAGATAGCGTAGGAACGTCTGGTCTACCTATTTGTGCAGGAAGTATTTTTCCCAGATTCTCCTCTGAAAATTACCTGATTTCATGAAAGTTGTCATTATGCAATATTGAGACTTTTTGATAAATATTCATGGCATATTAAACTAGACAGTTCATGACCTCCGGAACCAAAGAGCCAACATACATTTGCACTGTCATGATTGATTTGGTTGCACTTTTCAAAAGTTGTCACAACCATCTTTATTAGATGAAATTATCAGATGTACTTGAACAGGCACAGATAAGTAAGCCGTAAACTACAAATATGTCTAATGTTACTGATAGTTTATCGCAAGTTTGGGTGATTGTGATTATACATAAGTCAAAGGTTGCACTTTGACAGGTTGCCGAACATTGTTGATGTTAAAAGGGCATACATCTATAAATAGACATGACCTGCTTTAGTTACTTCAATTGTGATCATGCAGGTTATTCTACAGTAGAACCACAGTTTAGCAGTGCAGATGCATGTAATCACTTGTATGTACACTTGTATGTGGCACCAAGTAGACAGCAGCCTGATTTCATTGAACAGGCATCAGCCCTTTTGTTTTTATCTGATATAAACATGTTTTTGTCAACAGTTAGAACATTATTTTGTTGCACAAACAGCACCAAGACATTCCTTTGGAGGCAAAGTCATTTTGAAGTGATGCAAAATTCACATTGTAGTGTTAAAAACACTTAACACTCATACTTAAGTGTGTTTGATCTCATGATGGACAACTAGCGAAACATCGGGTCATGTCAACCTTCAAATTCAAAGTGCTTCCTCCTTAACATTTACCTTGAGAAGAGACCGTCACATGATTCTTCCATACAAATCATATTCTTTGTACATCAAGTAGCTTTTCAGTCCTGATGGAAAAGGACCTGAGTTTATGAACTTTGGGTCGCCCAGCCTTCGTGGGGTCATCTCTCTCCTGATGACTAGTCTGCAGAGGTGTTGCAGTGAACGAGGACTCCCTGAGAAAACATTGTTTTAATTACTGTAAGTTTGAATTTTTTTTTATCTAATGCTATACATTCATATTTTTGTAAGTGTAGTTTAAGTGTCCATGCTTGAACTATGTATACTGCTCACCCAAAATTTCTGTAATTTGAGCCCACTCTTTATGTTTCTTTAGAGCCATTTTCAGCTTGGTGCAAATGGGAACGTGATTGACATAGTCGAGGAGAACCCGCACAGCTTTTGCAGAGAACTGTACTAGCCAAGAGACGCTGATGAAATCACAAAACTACATGCGACAGAAGATAGAGACAGAAGTAAAGATACATAGGCCACATTTACATATGAAAACAAATTTCCATCAGAGGTAAGTTAGTTTAAAACACATCAGCTCTGTTCCAAAACCTAGTGAATTACTTGGTTACTCTACTGCTTGTTGTTAATTAATCTTTAGTCGTATAAAAATACAAATATTGTTATAAAATATTTGGAATACTTTTTAGAAATTAGCTTGTAAAAGTGTGCAGGATATTTAACTAACAATTGATTTCAATAGTTTGTTATTAACATGTTGCTAAGCTAATGTCACAATCTTAAGTAGCATCCCAGACAGCAAACTGACATTGAATCAACTTGGAAACGACGTCTCTCATGACATTGAAACAACGTTGATTTTGCTCATCGAATTAATGTTGAACCAACGTCAGACGCGGCATTCTTCAAAGCTAAATGAAAATCGAAAATTGGTTTGCTTTCATAACGTTGAAACAACGCGTTGATTTCAAGTTGATTTTCCGTTAGTTTTGAAAGAATGACGCGTCTGACGTTGGTTCAACGTTAATTCGATGAGCAAAACAATGTCAGATCAACGTTGTTTCGATGTCATATTTCCACGTTGATTCAATGTCAGTTTGCTATCTGGGATATATATCGTGTGAAATATTTTAATTCAATTTTTAAGTATTCGATGATTATACACTTACAAAAAACACTTTGTCCAATGTCTTGGGTTGATTTGGACTTTTACTTTTGGAACAAACGTTTGGAGTGCGCATTAATTGGCAACTTGCTAAGTTTTGGATCAGAGACATTAGTGGTGAACTTACTGGAATCTTCTCACTGGTGTGTTCTGAGGAGTGACCCCAAGTTGTATCGTGAGGACAACAGAAGCATTTCTCTGCATCATAACCACCATTTAACAGCATTCGCATCATCATCTCATCCCTCAAGCAGTATTGTAAGGCAGTGGGAAACACTGTGTCATTGATCTCTGTGAAGTAACAGTTCACATCTGCTTGGCTATCTAGGAGAATCCTGACAATCTCGTATCTCCCAGCTCTTACAGCCACTAGGAGGCAGCGCAGAGGATCCAGTTCTGTTTTGGCTCCAGCATTTAACAGCAACTGGGTGCCGGTCACATCTCCATTGGAGACCGCAAAGTACAAGGCGGTCTTTCGCATGTCCCCATAATTATCAGAAATATGCGTGTCCAAAAGAGCATTGACGTCAAAACCTCTGTCCAACAGGAGCTCCAAACATCGGACATAGCCTCCATCTGCAGCTGCATGAATTGGGCTCTGGCCTGAGAGATGGAGTGCTCTCTTTGTGGTTACTGGGATTAACATTCTCAGGGCACTGAAAAGAGATTGTACAAATTTATGTAAAAAAAAATATATATATCTGAAGAAAATTAGAATGGTGGGACAGTTACTCATTGACATTTAATACATAGTGTTAGCGCAGCAGTTCTCGATTTTGGCCCTTGAGATCCAATTTCTTGCAGAGCTAAGCTCAAGCCTAATCAAACCCAACTAAACAAGCTAATCAAGGCCTAAAGGATTACTAGAAGTTGGAGCTAAACTCAACAGGAAAGTGGACTTCGAGGGCCAGAGTTTAGAACCACTGGGTTAGAGGTCAAAAGCTCTAGTGGTAAACAGTAGTATATACACTCACCTAAAGGATTATTAGGAACAGCATACTAATACTGTGTTTGACCCCCTTTCGCCTTCAGAACTGCCTTAATTCTATGTGGCATTGATTCAACAAGGTGCTGAAAGCATTCTTTAGAAATGTTGTCCCATATTGATAGGATAGCATCTTGCAGTTGATGGAGATTTGTGGGATGCACATCCAGGGCACGAAACTCCCGTTCCACCACATCCCAAAGATGCTCTATTGGGTTGAGATCTGGTGACTGTGGGGGCCATTTTAGTACAGTGAACTCATTGTCATGTTCAAGAAACCAATTTGAAATGATTCAAGCTTTGTGACATGGTGCATTATCCTGCTGGAAGTAGCCATCAGAGGATGGGTACATGGTGGCCATAAAGGGATGGACATGGTCAGAAACAATGCTCAGGTAGGCCGTGGCGTTAAAACGAAGCCCAATTGGCATTAAGGGGCCTAAAGTGTGCCAAGAAAACATTCCCCACACCATTACACCACCACCAGCAGCCTGCACAGTGGTAACAAGGCATGATGAAATTGTTGCCTCTTTTTCCTATTTGTAGTGGAGATGAGTGGTACCCGGTGGGGTCCTCTGCTGTTGTAGCCCGTCCGCCTCAAGGTTGTGCGTGTTGTGGCTTCACAAATGCTTTGCTGCATACCTCGGTTGTAACAAGTGGTTATTTCAGTCAAAGTTGCTCTTCTATCAGCTTGAATCAGTCAGTCCATTCTTCTCTGACCTCTAGCATCAACAAGGCATTTTCGCCCACAGGACTGCCGCATACTGGATGTTTTTCCCTTTTCACACCATTGTTTGTAAACCCTAGAAATGGTTTTGTGTGAAAATCCCAATAACTGAGCAGATTGTGAAATACTCAGACCGGCCCGTCTGGCACCAACAACCATGCCACGCCCAAAATTGCTTAAATCACCTTTCTTTCCCATTCTGACATTCAGTTTGGAGTTCAGGAGATTGTCTTGACCAGGACCACACCCCTTAATACATTGAAGCAACTGCCATGTGATTGGTTGATTAGATAATTGCATTAATGAGAAATTGAACAGGTGTTCCTAATAGTCCTTTAGGTGAGTGTTGAGTGAAATGTATTGAATTCCGATTACATTTGGTCGGCTTCCAGTTCCAAAGTTCCATATACCTTTACTTCGATATCAGGGGTGACATAACTAACGCAACATAACTTACAGGTAATGCCCTTTGTATGCTGCACAGTGGATGGGAAGCTGCAAGGAAAGACTAGCGACATTAGGATCAGCCCCATGTTGAAGTAAAAGCTCAATGCAGTCAGGATTCCCAGAACCAGCCGCGTCAAATAACACACTGTCTCCATTTGGTGCCTGAGCATTAACATCGCCACCTGTTGTTGCGGAGGATATCATTCTGTTAGTTTAATTGTTTAAAAATGTTACTGCATTCTTCTTTTGTGAATATCTAATAACATCCTCAGTTTTTTCTTAGAAATACCAGTATTACCGTAGTGAATGAGGATGTCCAGCGCTTCGGCTTGTGCGTACTCTGCGGCAATTCCCATGGGCGTCACTCCATTCTCGTCTGTCTCCGAAACGTTTCCTCCATGTTGCAGCAGGAGCGTAAGTATGTCGGTACAGCCCACCTTGGCTGCCTCATGAATGGCCGTCCACTTTTTAGGGCAGGCTTGGTTCACCGATGCTCCACGTGATAAAAGTGTAAAGGCGATTTCAAATGAGTCTGTTCTTACAGCTCCAAAACAAAACAGGAACTTATTACAAATGCACTAAAGACACTATAGAAATTGCAATTAAGGACCTACCCAATAATAAAGGAGATTCATTTTTGCTGTTGATCCTATTAGGTGAAGCTCCATGCTCAAGCAGTGTCCTAACAATCTCCACCAGCCCAGATTGAGTCGCCAAAATCAGTGGTGTCTCTCCATCTGCGGTTTCCTCCTCCAAACTCAACCTGTAAGAAGCTTTTCAACCAAACCACTGAGTATATGAATAAATCTGACTTAACTTGAATTTGAAACAGTCTTTTTTGTTAACTCAGTAACGTCACAGTCATTTGTTCAAAAAATATGATTCATTCAGGAACGAAACAATTGACTCATGAGTGAGTCATTGAATAATTTACTCAACCAATTCAGGCTACGTCAAAACTAACGCATCTTTTACCTCTAGGTTTTGCCTTCCATCCACAATGAGCCAGCATTTTTGGCCTGCTAAAACTGAGATCCTCATTGTAGATGCTCTCTGACATCTATATATTTGAAAAAGCTGTTTTTGGCCATATTTACATTGCATGGTTCAAGTGAACCAATTCCGATTCTAATCTGGCATAGATCGGAACATCTGTGAACATGTAAGTAGTAAAAAAAAACAAAAAAAAAACAGATGGATTCCAATACTCTCAGATCTGATATGAAACGGATATGAATCAGATACGTTAAAGCTACACTGTGTGAATATTAGTTTCTGGTCCTCTCAATTCCGATTTCGTTTTAACTCCTACGGTGGCCAATGTAGTCCAAAATTAACATGGCTTCCAGTTCGACCTTGTCCGTGAGTGTTAACTCAAACGTAAACGCGAAAGGCAAAGCTTGAATTAACGGGTATGTCCCTCTTTGGCTAATGTACTTTCAAGATGGAGGGGCAACATGGCAACCGACATTAAAACCCCTTACCCGTATGTATTTTCAATGGCATATTATACACTCACGACAATACTTTATTACTTGAACAAAGTAAATATACATTAATGAGCACATATATTTTTGAAAGAACTAAGTGTTTTTAGCTAAGAATAAACTTAAAGAGTTACAGAGTGTAGCTTTAAATCTGTGGCTTTGTTTGCAAATATTTTCACTGGCGAAGCAAAAATGGTCCAAGTAACTTGCGATATTGTGTCTAAAATGTAGTTTTTTTTTTTGTTCTTGTTTATTGAAATGTATAAAAGTTGAAAACTACAACAGTGGACTTTCTACTCTAGCTCACCATAAAGTACCATCTCCAGCACCTGCACAGACTGCTGGACAGCAGCCCTATGAATTGGGTACCACCCCTTGGTATCCATCTCAGTGAATGCAGCAGGATAATCGGACAGCTCCTGCAGAGCAAAGAGATCTCCTGTGGGGCCAGATGAAATGACCTTGCACTTAGCAACGTAGCTAATTATAATTCACCCAAATAAAATCTATTTTTCAATGTGTATTTTCCATTCAACCTAATTGAATTACAGCAAGCATAAATTCTGGAGGGAAATTTCACCTCGGAATATTGCATCCAAGATCTTTTGATGTTCCACACTAGATTTATGTGCAGGATAGAAAAAGTTGTTGGTAATAACATTTGTCTAAGATTTTTGCTTTTATTTCAAGATTCCAAAAGGCAACTTCTTATGTGAACATCACACCTTCCAAGGGAGGCGATGTCTTTCCACGATTCCTGAATGCTCAGTTGGATTGCAGCATCAAGAAGCTCATCTTCCTCATCTGATCCATCCATTGTCCTGGAGGTAAATAAAAGCTTTTATGTGAACACGTGCAGAATTATAGACTGTTCTATTGTTCTGGTCATGTGTTAAGTCATCTTTGATGTCAAGTATATTGTTCTAATTCTCAGAATGCTTTCATATGACACTTTTAGCCATGTAGAAAGGTTGAAGTGTCAGTTTCCAGAAAGACGCTTCTGCTGTAGTTAAAAGGAATTCGATTCGTCCGCCTTTTTCAAGGGAGTTGTTTTCACACAAACATTTACATTTGTTCTTCTGACAGGCGGACCTCAACATTTATACACAGCTAGAAACGAACTTTGCGCTTGTTTCAAAGAAATGCCGAACTAGGGCATGCACAACCGACACTTCGTCCACCACTTCCAATGAATCATTCACGCTTCACCGAACACTAAACAAAGGCTCTAATCTCACCTTATGAAATACAGTTCCTGTGAAATCACGCGTCTCGCACTGCTGTGCCAGTACTTCAGCTGCACCCAATCTGAACTTGAGAGCCCCCCTTTCCAGGCCCAAAACAGCAACGGACATGCATCTAAATTTGGCGTTCACCTGCTCTTGTCTTTGCCATGCACACAGTGAAAGTCAAATGACAAATAACCACATGGTCACTTGATTTTTTTTCATATATGTGCATTAAAATATTTTTTAAAACAGGTGCAAATAAGAACTGTAATTTGATGTTATGGCTGAAATGAATAATTTACGAATTACCTTTTTTTATTTTAATAATACAGAGTGCAGCTACTGATATATTGTATACAGTGCAGGCATAACTTTGCAGCTGGGGAAATCCCAGAGTCACTGCATTGTGAACCACCATGTGTTTAATGAATAACTACAGGAATCTTGGAAAGTCTTGTACAGTGGCTCGAAGAAACCTTGAAAAAAAAATGCTTCAAATTATCTTAATGTTTAATCTTATACAGGCCTTGGGCAATGTGTTAGTTTTCGATGTACATGCTCAAAAGGAATGAATAAAGGACTTTGAGGTTGTATTATGAAAGAATAACTACGAATGTGAACATAAATATAAATGAGAGTTTACAAATTAACAGCATAAAGGTGTTTATAAACGCATAGCCTCATGAAATTACAAGCTTGGTGATTATGACTGTATGGTCTCTGAAAAATGGAGGGTTTAAAGAAAAATTTGAGGATAAAAATGGAAAGAGTGGGATGGTGGATAATGAGAATGGATGGAGAACAAAAATAGACTTTTCTTCTGCCTCAAAGGCCTCTGAGATTAGCTGTCCAAAAAAACAAAGAATAAATGACAGGCAACAGGCTTGATGATAACACACTGACACTGACGTATGAGTGAAAATACATTTTATTTAACATCAGAGACAGTTGCGAGATCAATCACAAGATATGTAGCATGAATACAATTAACATTATAAAAACTATTTGTGTTTTAAAGCCTCATCCAAAAATGACTCGATATGGAAAAATGGTTACTCGACTTGATATTCAACTAAATTATCAGTTAATTTATATAACTCAGTCAGTTCATATTTCTTGTAAAGCAGATAATTTCTAATCGGAGGTGGAAAGGAATCCATTATAATGGTATTGCGGAGTCTTTTAACGGTCAATGTTTTTCTGATTTCCAGACGACAGAGGTGCTTCAGGGATCGTGGGTTGTCTGAAACAAATTCAAAAGCTATTAGTCTGCATTCCCCGAGACTGGAGAACCATTGATCTGTTTCTAGAAAAGTTATAAACCAGGTACTATCGTCTAACATGCATTTATTCATTTTGGGACTATGAGCTGTAAGTTTAAGTTACTTCACATGACCCACAATGCGACTCCCATATGTCAAGAAAGACCGGCTAAACTAATAAATGATTAAATGCGAACCCAGTGAACTCACTCAAGATGGTCCATATCTCCGCCCACTCCTTCTGTTTCTCCAGGATACACCTAAGATGTGAACAGATGTGGACGTGGTCGACGTAGTCCATCAGGATCAGTACCACTCGTCCAGACAAATCAACCAGGCAGCACAAACTTATGAAGTCACAGAACTGTGATGTAAAGGCAACATAAACAAGTGAAGTTTTGTCTCCCATGAAGCACTGTAAATGTAATATTAACAATTTAGTATTATAAACAAAATAGTACCAATTTACAATAAGGTTCACTTAGCGAATTGGGCATCATAAACTAAGACTGAACAATTTTACAGCATTTATTATTCTAGGATAATGTGTATTTTTAAATATATACCATTGTTGATTTGTTAATTCATGTTTATTAGTTATGCATTAACTAATTATAATTTATACTACTTGTATATGTTGAAATTCCATAAAACTAATGTCAACTAATGCTAACTAATGTCAACAAATCAAACCTTTTTGTTAAGTATTAAAAAATAGTAAAAAAAAAAAAAAAAAAAGTAAAAAAAAATCAATTAATTCATGTTCCAAAACCTAATGGTCTGCAGCCACGAGAAAAAGTAACAGTAAAGTAATGTAATGGATTACTTTCCATAAAAAGTAACCATGTAGCATAATTAGTTACTTTAAGGCCCCAATATATTTCAAGTGAAATCAAGAACGAACTAGTGAAGCATCAAGTAACTCGCGGTTAGATACCAACTGAAAGTTGTTCATTTTCAATGAGAGGTGGTGTTTGAGGCAACTTGAGTGATAGCGACACTATGACTGCTAATAGGAGAAAAGAGCTTATTTTGATGTTAGCATGTTGCTAAGATAATACCGTAATGAAAATAAGCACTAATGTAGCATTTAAGATTTCCTTCTTGATGCTTTCTTAGGATGTGGGCAAATCAAAGTATCTTAGAAGGTGTCATAATTATGCTGCTATTTGGAATAAGTTGGAAGCGTCTGTGTATTCTTTAGAACTGAACGTTTTGCCAAAATTTTGTTATCGTAAGATTTTTACTCTATAGTCAGACCCAAAACTCACAGATATTTTGTCTTCTCCATCACATATGACACAACATGCTTTATGTGTGTCCTTCCAAGGAAACTTCATTTTGAAATGGTAATCATGGTGACAATGGAAACATTTGTCTACATTATATCCATTATTTAGAAGTAATCGCATCATCTTCTCATCCTTCAGGCAGTACTGTAGAGATGTGGGAAATACTGTGTCACTGATCGCTGTGAAGTAACAGTTGACATCCGCCTGCTTAGCGAGGAGCATTGTGACGATCTCATACATCCCAGCTCTCACCGCCACTAGGAGGCAGTGCAGGGGATCCAGGTCAGGTTTGGCTCCTTCATTCAATAGCATCTCGATGCAAGTCAAATCTCCATTTGAGACGGCAAAGTAAAGGGCGGTCCTACGCATGTCGTTGTAATTGTCGGAGATGGTTCGGTCGAGTAGAGCGTTCACGTCGAAACCTCTGTTGATCAGGAGCTGTAGGCACTTCACATGACCTCCATCTGCAGCTGAGTGTAGTGGACTCTGGCCAGATTCAATGATAGCTTTCTTGCTTGTCACTGATAGCAGTATTTTTAACACACTGTAAATAGAAATGGTATGATGCAGGTAAGCAAGTTCACATCTGTAAAGTTGTTTTGATCACTTTTACTTTGACTGTTAAAGGAATAGTTCACTTTAAAAAAAAACTCACCCCCATGTCATCCAAGATGTCCATGTCTTTCTTTCTTCAGTCGAAAAAAAAAGGTTTTTGAGGAAAACATTCCAGGATTTTTCTCCATATAATGGACTTAACTGGGCACCAAACAGTTCAAGGTCCAAAAGGCAGTTTCAGTGCAAACTGTTCAAAGGGCTTTAAACGATTCAAGACGATCAATAAGGGTCTAATCAAGCGAAACGATCACTCATTTAAAAAATAAATAACAACGTTTAAGCTTTATAAGCTAAAATGCTCGCCTTGCTCTGTTCTGTGATGCGCGTTCATGACTCTCCTGTTCGTTCTCGTTCATCAAAATTAACGAGTCTTTTTCCGAAGAAATTCGTTCATTTCGTTCATTGAATGACTCGAAAAAAGAGTTTGAACAGGAGAGTCATGAATGCACATCACAGAACAGAGCAAGGCGAGCAACTTAAACTTTGTTATTTATTTTTTAAATGACCGATCGTTTTGCTTAATCTTCTTACTTAATCTTCTTAATCTTTCGATAAGACCCTTATTCATCGTCTGGAATCTTTTAAGGCCCTTTCAACAGTTTGCAGTTTGCACTGAAACTGTTTTTTGGATCTTGAACTGTTTGGTTACAGTAAAGTCCATTATATGGAGAAAAATGCTGGAATCTTTTCATCAAAAACCTTAATTTCTTTTTGATTGAAGAAAGAAAGACATAGACATCTTGGATGACATGGGGTGAGTAAATTATCAGCAAACGTTTTTTTAAAGTGAACTACTCCTTTAATGGGGGTTTCTCCAATGTCAGGATTTTTTTTTTCATATCCCTAGGGTTGATTCTATTTAAAACAAAACATTAGTTTTATGTTGTCTTTAAATGAAGCCACCCCACCCCCCATGCAATTCAATCTTAAACTTTGAAAATCCATCATTAAAATTGATTATGATAAATCTATATAAATATTTCCAAAGACACAAATGTACTTCTTTTTTTTCTTCTTTTCTTTTTTTTAACAAATTACAGCATTCTTTTTCCTACGGAACCCCTAAAGTGACAGTGATGATACAAAGTAAAAATTCTATTTCAATTCTCTCGCAAAAGTATTGCATTTCCCCGTAAAACTCTTGCGTTCCCAGAGAAACTGTGATCGCTCAAAAACTTTATGGAAATAAAATGAAGTGGGTGGAAAAACAATATTTCAGTTAAAATATAAGTTTACCTCCCAGTTTCCCAGTTTTTCTTGCTCATTTACCAAAGCTGGAAGTGAAATGTGGGAAATGATGAGTAGAAGAAAAATAAAAAGAGAAATAAGGCGAAAAACAAGGTAAATATCACAAAGGAATAGTTTTGTGCGTTATTTCCATTCAAATTGTAATTTTGTACCTTTTCATAGAAAGTGTGAAAATATTATATAATTGTGTGTATTTATAATACATAAAATGCTAGCTGTAAAATTAGCCTAAAGACAAATATATCCAAACATTTTTTTTTTAAATGTGCTAATTAAACAGTACATAATCTGAGATCAGGTGGAAACGACACTGTGAGAATTTTCATTTATTAATAAATATGAATAAAATTTAAAAAAAAAAACTTCTCAAGTGATGTTAAATAAACTAGTGTTACAAAGCTGAGTGAAAAAAGTGCCAATAGTTGAAGAAGGACCCAACTACGTTAATGCATTTTAGTGTTTAACTAATTCAAATTATTGTAGACTTACAGGTAGTGGCCCTCGAAGGCCGCACGGTGTATAGGAAGATGCCTGGTAAAACTGACCCGGTTCGGTGACGCTCCATTTTCAAGCAGAAGGTTCACACAGTAAGGGTTTCCAGAACCAACTGCATCCATCAACACACTTTCACCCTTAAAAGACTGTGCATTCACGTCAGCTCCTTGTCAACATGGTTGGATTAAAATTGATTAACAAATACCATGGTTAATCTTGGTCTCATTTGTGAGATGAAAGGTCCTCACCTAATTCAATGAGCACTTGAAGGACTTCTAGATTGGCGCACTCTGCTGCTACACCCAATGGAGTCACTCCATTAATATCCCTAACTGACACGTGGCCACCTCGTCTCAGCAGCAACATTAAGATGTCAGTGCAGCCCACTCGTGCTGCCTCATGGATTGCCGTCCACCCCTTCGAACAAACCTGATCCACTACAGCTCCATGTGTGATGAGAGCACACACCATTTGATAAGATCGTACTCGTACCGCTAGGACAAAATAAAGAAGATTATTATAGTTGTTGTGGAAAGTACAAGCAGATACCATCAACAGGGCAACTAAATCAACAGTGAAGTTGTGCTTCACCCTGCAGAAGAGGAGACTCCTTTTTGCTGTTGAGATGATGTGGTAGTGCCCCATGTTCAAGAAGGATCCTGACGTTCTCCTCCAGTCCAGATTGAACGGCTAAATTCAAGGCGGTCTCTCCATTCCAACATTTTTCCTCTATCTCAAGCTGGCTGGAGACTGTGGATTGAATAATCATCAAAACCGAATGTAGAGTACCGATTGGACATTTTCACACAGCAACCAAATATGCTTGTCAGTTTTGTATTTGAGCCCTTAAAGGGATACTCCACTTTTTTGGAAATAGGCTCATTTTACCACTCCCCCACAGTTAAACAGTTGAGTTTTACCGTTTTCAAATTCATTCAGCTGATTTTCTGATATTTAGAAGAATATCAGTTACCAGATAGTTTCTGGTCCCATTGACTTCCATAGTAGGACAAAAAAATACTTTGGAAGTCAATGAGACCAGATACCAGAGGTGGGGACAAGTCACACATGGTCAAGTCCAAGCAAGTCTCAAGTCTTAACCATCAAGTCTCGAGTCAAGTCTCAAGTCGCAGTTCAGATAAATCAAGCAAGTCAAGTCAAGTCAAGGGTTCACCCTAAGCAAGTCAAGTCAAGTCCTGATAAGTTTCAAGTAAAGTCAAGTCACACTACTAAAATAAATAGAGGTAAATTTTTTCGATACATATTTATTTTTGCACAGAAAAGATTAACTTTTATACATATATTATGTATCTTACATTTGCTATATTAATCTTATGCATATCTGTGCTACATTAATATCTGAAAATAAAATAAAATTGTGTTGTTTACACAAAACGTTCAGAGTCTAAGATGTATCGATTCTAAGATGTATAATCCAATCTGTCTAATTCAATTTAATTGAAACGGTCTAAAATGTATGAAATCTAAAATGTAATATCTTATATCTTATATAAATGTAAAATATAAAATGTATGAAATGTATGAGAATATAAAATGCAATTTTTTTTTTAATTCAGTAGTTTTTCTTATCATAGCCAACAAATGTCTTCGGAAACTCCTTTTCCTCGATTTACTGAAACCTATATGTAAAACGCATTTGCAGCTGCACAGCCGTGTATATATCTATGCTGCATACAGACATCCCAACCTACAAGAATTCATTTCAGGGAGGTATATCTCAATGAATGTAATGTTAGGGGGGGTTAATATATGTTATATTAACATATTTAAAATATGTTTAAAATAAATATAAAATAAAAATGGTAATATGTTATATTAACATATTTTATATTTAATAAATATTACATATTAAATAATATTATGTATATTATATATTAAATTTACATAAATATTAACAAATGATTGTTTTAATTATGGAATTCTCCATAATTAACTCCTAAACTTCAGTAGAGAACAATTCTTTGTAAGGAAGGAGGGGTTTCTTTATTGTACATTTATTTGCATGTAGTATGTAGCATATGGTTTGCGTTGCTTTAAATTGGTCAGTACAGCGCTGACTATTGAGTGTCGCTAGGAAACACGTCCGCGCTGCGCTGACGAATCGGCTGCGCGGCTCGGATCATTGAACCGTGCAGATGACATGTCTGCGCGGCACGAGCTCTGTAAAGCCCCGCTGTCTCGTCCCACTTTTGGTTTGTTTGGCTTCCCATATCTCTGCCGTGCACACGCCGCACGCTATGTATGTTATACGCGCAGTATCTCGCTCTAGATTCCGGGAGATTTTAACTCATTTGCGGGCATCAGGGAGACGCTATCAATATGCGTGAGACTCCCGGAACTTCCGTTTGGCGCGGTTTGAATTGAGCAGCGTAAAGGCACAGATGCCGATATATTGATGCTGACGTCATAATATATATTTTAATTAACTGTATTGCTGTTTGTTTATTATATGTTCAAGTCATTGTCGAGTCTTCCACTTCAAGTCAAGTCAAGTCTCAAGTAACTTGTTCTCAAGTCAAAGTCAAGTCAAGTCATTTTTGTACTTTAATCAAGCAAGTCACAAGTCCTGAAAATTGTGACTCGAGTCAGACTCGAGTCAAGTCATGTGACTCGAGTCCCCCACCTCTGCCAGATACTGTCTGATTACTGATATTCTTCTAAATATCAGAAAATCGGCTGAATGGATTCGAAAACAGCAAAACTAAACTGTTTAACTCTGGGGGAGTGGTAAAATGAGCCTATTTCCAAAAAAAGTGGAGTATCCCTTTAAAGGAATAGTTCACCCAAAAATGAAAATTAGCCAATAGTTTACTCATCCTCAAACCATCCTAGTGTATATGACATTCTTATTTGAGCCAAACACAAAGTTGTATTAAAAATAAATCCTGAGCATTATAATGGGAGTGAATAGTAACAGATTTTGAAGCCCAAAAAAGCGCATCCATCCATCATAAAAGTAATCCATAATGGCTCCAGGGGGTTTATACTCGCATATGCAGAGGATAGAGCAAAAGTAGAAGTCTAAAATGAGAGTTTTTAAGTGGAAATGTAACAGGAGCTTGAGTTTGTTGCCCAGACCTATTTGTTTGAACCGTGAGAGGTGTCTACTCTCGCCTAAGCTTATGCTACACCTACAGTACGTCAATATGCCGGAACTCGACTCTTACTGTACATAAACATGTGGACGGCCATTAACAGAAGCTAGTGATTACAGTTATGGATATTCTTTTAACGAAGAAGGCCTTTTTTAACCCCCTGGAACGCTATGGATTACTTTAATAATGGATGGATCTGTTTATTGGGCTTAAAAAATGGTACAATTCACTCCCATTATAAAGCTTGGAAGCTCCAGGATATGTTTTGATATTACTTCGATTGTGTTTGGCTGAAAGAAGAAAGTCAAATACACATAGGATGGCTTGAGATCATTTGAATTTTTGGTTGAACTAACCCTTTAATAAGGTTATGTTCAAACAGAGTTATTTATGGGATTGACAAAGTTCTATAACCGAATTCAGGTCTGTAAATTTACAGAACTCACAAACACATTCTTGGAAAACCGTTTCTTGTGTGAACGGAACTACTGTAGATTCAGTCACTATTCTCCACCGGAGCTACTCCCATCATTTTTGTGTTCTACGCGCAACTCTCCAAAGCTGTTGTCGGTCAATAAAGATTTGACAAATGAACTTTTGACTCGATTGGACTTTTCACTTTTCTGGACATCACCATCTTTGATATTACTTTGCTCATTTTCGCCATGGTAAGAGAATACAGGCTTGACTCCCGTTGCACGTTCAAACAGATAGCATTCGAGACGCCACTGTAAGTTGCTGTCTGAACGGGATATTTCGAGACTCACACCTGTAAGTAAATGCGGCTGTCAATCCCAAAAACTGAAAGTGTGGACATAGCCTGTATGTTAGACCCAGTCTCGTTTTCCAGCAGCTTTTCTATGTCAGAATTGACCATCCAGGTCCAGGACTCACCCAGAACCGCCTCTAGTACTTTCCCTGATGGTTGCATGGTGGCTCTGTGGAGTGGAAGAAGTCCACTACTGTCCACTTCCCTAAAGGCTGAAGGAAATCGTCTGAGCTCATGGATGACTGCAGTATCACCTTATTGTCAGGATACATGAAGAGATTTTAGACATATCGGCGAAACTCTCTTGAGAACTTCTAGGCACCCTTTCAAAAAGGGCAGTTCTATGAGGAACTTATAAGAACTTGCAAATTCTCTGATAACTCAACAACATCTTATGGGAGAGACTTAAATACACAATAGGACAGGGGTGAGCATTCCTGCTCCTGGAGGACTGCTGTCCTACTGAGTTTTGCTCCAGGCCTGAACCAAGGTCATCCAGGGCTGCATCCGAATGCTTAGGCAACTGACTTTTTGCCTCTCTGTTCTTGGTCTAATAAACTACAACAACAAAAAAGAGAGCTTTGGTGATAACTTAGAATTTTCTAGACAGGAACATTGGGACAAGCTGGAGAACTCCGCCCAGGGGTGTGTTTCCCAAAAGCATCATTAGTCAACTATGGTTGCAAGTTCCATTTAACTCTATTGTTAATGACAGAACATGGGAGTTGGCTTTGGGAAACACACCCCAGAACCAGGAAATGATACCCCTGGATTAGGATATCTGCACCTTCAGAAGGGTCCAGAGGTCCTCAAGTGGGTTCTGCAAGTGTTGCAATCTGAGGAAACTCAAGTATCTCTTCATTTTTTTTTATGGTGATAGAACAGAAATAAAATATTTCAAGGCATTAATACATTACCTGTTTCGATTGCTGCCAGCAGTTTCAAATTCTCATCACTGGCTGAGCTTTATGAAAACAATAAGCATCTGAGAGAAAGTATTTTGCAATACTTTTTGCTATTTTAACTTTTCAGTTTCCTTCAAAGCATGTTGTACATACAATATATAGAACATACATAGCCTACCTGTATTCATCTTCATTCATCTTGTCCGACAAAATATATCTAGAAAATGTGTCCGAATCAGAGGCCATAACATTAAAGCATCAGTGACTGTTGGAGCTCATCAGAGCCGAATACAACTAAAGTAATATAATTGCAAACATGAACCTTTCATTAAACTGCAGGCTTACCTTTGTGACTTTCTTGTTCCTAGTGACATGAGCTTTTATATTCAAGCATGACCTGCTTTTATTGCCAATGAAATGCCATGCTACAAATGCCATGCATTAGGTACAGTACAGTCTGTTTCTATTGTAGTCACTCTAACACACACCTGGATAAAATGTTTTCTAGGAAGTGACACATGAGATGATTCACTTTTATTTTTTCCCCCACAATACTTTTTTAATTAAATCCCCAAATATAACATAATCCTAATCTAATCTGCAAGCTGAAACTGTGTTTCATGATTTTAGAGGCATATCACAGGCACGCCAGGGGGCAGGATCATGTCATGTGACATTAAGCTTGATTCATTCGGTAATTCGGTTCGGAACTGTTTCCAAAAGCATCTTGTTTTTAATGTTTGTGTAGTAAAGCTGGTACTTTATCGCTGTTTTATTAGGTTATATAGCCTGCATGGTGTAAAGTAAATTGTGTTAACATAATAGCTGGCCTAACAAAACAAAAGCACCGTGGTATTTCGGACATGTTAGGCCTACAATGTTTTTGTTTATTGCAACACATTCTTTGAAATATCCTGTAAATGGCATGGTAGGCTACATACACCAACAATTACACTGAATATTAATGTATATGATGGTATCTGTAGACTAAGGGAAATCCACCATTCTTCCCTGTTTTTGTTAATTAATAAAGTTAATTGTGTAAAATTATTTATAATAATGTTAATAGAGCTGTAACGATTTCGCTTCACGCTTAAACAAAGTAATTCCGCTGAATTACACATGCTTTGCGAATCGGTTCAACCGACTCGGATTCTGTTCACAAAAGAATCGGTTCAATTGATTGACTCATTTGAGAATCGGACATCACCATAGCAGCGGCCAAACACTGTCCAGACTCGGTAATAAAGACGTTTCCGTCAAATTGCTCTTAAGAATATTATAGGTGAACGTGCTATTATTGAACTTTAAGGTTTGACCGTTTAGGTGTGAGAAATGTGTCATGTCAGAGCAGCAGCAGAGTGAAACTGAACCCGCGGAGCAAAGAATGTCACAAGAAGTCATTCAGACAGAGACTGGTCATGAGGAAGATGATGATGCTGAGGACCAAAGACTTCAAAACGATAGAAACCAACAAGGAGGCGAAACCAACCAGATAATTTCCTCCAGTGATGTTGGAAACTCAACAGCAACGGGTGAAATATTAACTGTTAATTGGGCATTTTACCACAGAATTATACACTTAGAAAAATTCTATGGTACTAAGTTTTGGGCATAACGTTACGAGTATTTTGGTAATACTGTGATTATACTTTGACATAGCTATTGCTCCATAAAATGGATGTCAATGTTATATCATTAATTATCAAAAATATTTCGTTAATTAATGAAGAAATAAAACATAGCTTATTAAGTAGTGCCTAAGCATAGCTTACTTTTGTAGTACCACCACAATTTTTTAATAAATATTCAGCTCATTTCTTGTATGTTCTAATGCAATTGTATTTCTTCTACTTCTAGTTAAGATCTTGCTGATGCCAGAGAGGCACATGATAACGGTGGCCTTCACAATTGGCCTCTCAATCCTGGATCTGAAAAAACACTTCAGCTTCAAGCTGAGGGTCCCATTAGACATCATACAAATCACTTTAGACGGTAAGACACAAAAGATCGTCCTTCATTTGGAGAAATCCTGGAAATTTCTGACATTTCTGAGTATAAAAGAAAGCATTTACTCCACAACGATGTAAAGGACACATTAAAAGTATCTTGGATCTTTTTAATTTAAATGTATTCATTTATTTTTTTCTGATTTATGGCATATTTATTTATTTATTTTTAAAGATAAACACAGGATCTTTTTAATTTAGTTTTACTTTTTGTCTAGAAAAAAGTGTAGATGATGACCAGACGCTGATGGATATTGGCGTACAGCCACATGGGATGGTCCAATTTGAGATGAGCTCGCTAGACCCGGAGAATTACCCTATGAGACCAGACAAACCACAGCAAGAGTACAACATGCCGGATGTCATCACTGTCAGAGTGCAAACAGGTACAGTCGAACTTATACCTGACTAAGGCATTATGAGGATAGACAAGTTTTTGTGACAAGTTTCTGGCTTTAAGATACAGAGACATATCAGGACGTGGTGGTGGAGATAGAGAGAGCCACTCGCAGGAAGGCATTTCTGGGAGGATTCCGTCATACGGTGACCAAAACCGAGTATCATAATGCTGCTGTACAGACGATCCCTAAGAAGAGGCCTGACAGGGGCATTGAGTGCTTCAGCAGGGATACACAGGTGCACACATACACACACACACACACACCATACAATGGAGTGAAGGACTTCTTGTGCAGTAATAAAACCCATCCACTCATCTCTTTGCCTCAGTTTTTATTTATGGTAAATAAAGGAACTGATCAAAATCATATTTTATAACACATTTAATAAACATACAGTTGTATTTAAAATATAAAGTGTAGGCTATATGTACAAATATTTTGAATTATAATATTATTGTAAAATATACAAATATAATATAAAACATATTTATGAAAATTGTTTCTGTAAAAAATTAACCTTTTTTATTGTTATATGACCTGTATATACTTTTTATATAATGATATAATTATTGATTGTTTACTGAAGACAGACAAACATAGACACGCAAGGAGTTAATCTTCAGTAAAGATTTTTTAGAAATGACTTAATTGTTGAGAAAGTTGTTACCCATACATTTGAATGATTTATCACATTGAAATGTAAGACTATTGAATGTTTAGAGAATCTTATTTATATAATATTTTGGCAAAATCACAGTATTATTTACAAATTCAAATTATATATATATATATATATATATATATATATTTTAATGATTCAGTCTTTTTTACAAAATAAATAGAACCAATAAAACACTTGTGGTCACGTTATATTAAAATCACGATCCCAATTAACCCCAATTAACTGTGACATTAAACACTACCATTTGTGGTCAGTACTTTTTTCTTTTTTTTTTGTGTGTAGAAATTAACGTTTTCAACCTTGAAACTAATAGGAAATATTTCTTGAGCAGCAAACCATCATATTATGATTTCTGAAGGATCATGTGACACTGAAGACTGGAGTAATGATGATGAAAATTCAGCTTTGAATCAGAAGAATAAATTACATATACAAAACATATTAAAATACAAAACACTTCTTTTAAATGGTAATAATATTTCACAATATTACTGTTTTTACTGTATGTTTGATCAAATAAATGCAGCCCTGGTGAGTATCAGAGACTTCTTCTAAAAACATTAATGAATCTTACCGACCCCAAACTTTTGAACGGTATGTAGATTCAAATCTTAGACCAATTTGGGTTGCCGTTTGGACTGCACACCCCTAATTTTCTTTTCCATTTAACTAGACGGTGGAGTTGAAACACCAGGATCAGCAGTGCTATAGGAACGCCTCGACTCAGATGACCAAAATCGGCTGTTACGTGTCCAACATGGAGGACAAGCTCATCACCCCAGGGACTTACATCACTGCAGAAGAGTATCACAGCAAGAGATTGAGAGCTGTACGTGTGTTTGAAAGGGTTGAGAGAGAATCGCATTCATTCTGTTCATTCGCTGTTCAGGACAAATGCTTATATGTATGTTTTTCCGTAGGTCATTAAACTACAGTCACATGTCAGGCGCTGGCTAGCCAAGTGTTTCACGGATAACTTGAGACAGGCTAAAGATCAGCACCTGGCATGGATGGAAAATGAAAAGAGAAGAAAGAAAGAGGAGAAAGAACAGCAGATCAGAGATGAATATCGCCGCAGGATGAAGCCGGAGTCGAAGGGAGACTTTGATCTGCTTTATAACGCCTTGAAAAGTGAGTGTTTGTAGCCCCTCTAGAATCACCAAATGGAAGTGCAAAAATAATGACTTTATTTAGTCTCTCTGAAAAAACATAATCACACATTTAGTCCACAAAACTCGCCATTGGTTGAAACAGTGTTGCTATGTAATTAATAATAGTCAGGAGGATGCTCCGACAAACACAACCATTTTCAGTGTTTTGCAGCTTTTCAAGAACATCAACCTATAAATTACTTATTTACTCAAAATAACTTTTACAAGCTACTGTGTTTTTTGTACATTATATTGCATCTGCAACTTTTTAGCCAATTGGTGGGTTCAGCAGGTTCATGCAAATTAACTGTTTGCACATTTCCCTGCAATAAATGCATCACTGATTCACTTCACAGATGTCTTCATTTTTTTAAATACTGTTGACCATCGCTGTTTTTACTCTGTTAAACTACTGTTAATTCAAAAGATTTTTTTTATAGAAAGACATTACTATTTTTCATTATCAAGAATGCATTCAATTGATAAAATATGACAGTAAAGATATTTATCATTTTTCAAAAGATTTTTATTTCAAATTAATCAATTTACCAACGAACCTTAAAATCTTTCCACGCAAAATTTTAAGTAGCACAACATTTTTCAACATTGATTTCTTTCACAAACATAAAACAGTCTCAAACGCCACATTTTTGAGCAGTTTAGTGTTTCTAAATTAGTATTCTATTGGTTGATTTTTCTTTTTTTATCTGTTGGATTTAGCACTGTCACTGTGATTCAGAGATCATTGTTTTGTGTCCGATAAATGATGCTGTGATGGCAGAGATTGGAAAAGATTTTAAAACACATTTAACTATTTAAAGCTTTTTTTAAAGCTTCATTGAAGTTGACGACATTATAGTTGGTATGATATAAGTGTGGATATGGAGGTATGTGTTGTAATGTGTGCAGTGATTTGGATATAAGTCAGTGTGATGGTCCTTATTCTTCATCTCGGTATGTCAGAATGGAGGGAAGAGGAAGTGGAACGCATCAATGTCACCTTATCTGGTGCGGAGAGAAAGGCAGCGCTGTGCGCTCTACTGGAGCAAGAGACCCAGTTCATCTCCTCCATAGAACAGCACAGAATGGCTGCCGGCACGAGGAACCAGGAAAAGGCCATACAAGCCTTCCTCAACAAGGTTATCAACAACTAATCGGCTGTCTCGTCATGAACACACTGTGTTGTTTTAGAGCAAAACCTTTGTTTGGTTACAGTGCAAGAATGATTGGATAGGTCTATTTGATTTGGAACCAAGTAGAGCACACTATAATTGTTACAATATTACTTTCAGTAAATCTGGGCGGCAGAAGTTTCATTTGGTTTAGTATTTTCAACATTGTGTCCATTGACACAAAACACAAATGTCAGAATTTTAAAGACGTTTGTTTTTGACTTCTCTTCAGTCTGCAGAGCCAAAGAGATGGCGTGCATTTGATGGGAAGGTGACACAAATGGACACCCAGTTCACCATCAGAGCCAAGGAGCTGCGAGACCTGTACAGTAGCGTCACACAGGCTCAATTCACAAAGGACGAACGCATGGATGTGCTACTCACTCTCAAACACACTGTGAAGGTCAGTTCCACATCTGTAGTCCTAAATATGGACAAAATATAAAAACATATATTTGCTCATCTAATTTTTGTGAACAGGAACATAAATGCAAGCTGACACAGGACATAGTGGACTTGATTGACAGGGAGATGGACCTGATGATGAGGGGTGTGAAAAAGAGCAACCTGGATGGATTGAGAAAGAGGATATCAACCCTCTTCCTCCAATACATCAAAACCCCTCCGTTTAACCCTCAAGTCTCCAAACTTCTACGGGTATGTGGCTAAAACAGTGTTGTCGTCGAGACCAACTCATTCGAGACTGTGTCAAGACCATGTCTATGACAACATCAAGACATCAAGTGTCAGAGACAGTGTTGTAGTACTCGAGACTCGGACTCGTCTCGGACTCGGTCTCGAGACCATATTTTAATGGTCTTGGTCTTGTCATGGACTCTTGTCATTTGGACTCGGAATTGACTCGTACTCGAACATTTTTTTTTTTAGGACTCGGAATTATTCCCGAGTCCACTCGAGTTGAATTCAAAATATTTTTCATGATTATTAATGTATGTTAATAAAATATTTCTTTAAATTGATTGACACGCCCAGTGATTGGTGATTTTCTAGTGCGCAACAAATTGTAATAAAATTACTTTTAACACCACCTACTATGTGGCCTTTTTACCCTAAATTGATCATATTTTTTAAACTCTAAGTAAATTCAGTAAAATAAAAAAAGGATTTCTCTAAGTAAATAAAAGTAAATTAGGTAATCAACCCTCACTGGTCTCGGTCTCGACTCGGACTCGACCGTCTCTGGTCTCGGACTCGACTTGGACTCGACTCTCTATGGACTCGGTCTTGACTCGGACTAGACTCTCTCTGGTCTCGGTCTCGACTCGGACTCGAGTGAGGTGGTCTCGACTACAACACTGGTCAGAGACCATATTTTTATGGTGTGAAGGTTCTCAAGTCCACTCATGGTCCAAATACCATATTTTCAAGGTCACCCTTTTCTAGTCTTGGTCTTAACTTGGATTCAAATAAGGTGGTTTCGACTACAACCCTTGGCTAAAGTTCACCCTGTACTTCAAAGTTAATATGACATTAGCTGTAACATCACTTCCAGTTCTCAAAATACTGAAATACAACTTGAGTTTTGGTTGGTTTTCTCACTCTTCGAAACAACTCTAATATTTACCTTGCTCTCCACAGGTGCCTCGGGATCCTGCCGACCTGAAAAAGAACATCTATTTGTGTCGTGGCTGTAATGAGTATCAGTCATGCACTGACTTCGCTCTGAATACTAACACATCTGCAGTCGGCCTCTGTCACCGCTGTATGGAGTCTCAAAGAGAAGACTTCTCTCTTTACAAGAACATTCTGAGATGCTTGCGTGACACTGAGGCCGAGTGCAGCCCAGAAGCCGAAATCACTTACCTGCTGCAGGTAAAGTTTACACATGTGTTGGTGATTCATTTTGAGGGCATGGAAAGAGGCGGTTGTTTTCCGTAAAACCTGCACCAGTGAAATCAGTAGTTTTAGTAATTTCATATTTATGTTTTGCACACTGAAATTAGTCTGCGTAAACAATTAATGCAAGACTTGACTCCTACTAGTGTGGATGTGTGACGTTTTTGCTTATTAACTTGTCAAAGACACTGTTGACCACCCTTATGTATATTAAAACTAGAAATCTAACTAAAACTAAAAGCCTGTTCACACCAAGAACGATAACTGTAAAGATAACTATATTGATAATTATATTAGCCTCCACACCAGAGGATGATATTGTCCGGTTTAGTTGACTGTTTTTTAAAATGCTCGAGCTGGATGGGTTCTGATTGGCTGTCAATGTTTTTATCATTCATCAGCTGGGTGAAATCGTTCTGAAACTGATTCAGTTTCTTTGTGCAGTTATCGTTATAGTGGTTGTGGACTATGCTACTCTCTAATGTTGAGAACGATTTTTAGAATATCTTTATAGTTATCGTCCTTGGTGTGAACTGGCATTTAAGTGCATCTCATGTGAGTCTGCATGATTTTTAAAAAAAATTTTTGGTGGAAAATGTGAGACAATTGCTTAGTCCACCTTTAATACAATAGATTAAAATGAATGGAGCACCAAGTTAAAGCTGTGCTCAAGACATTTACTGTCCTCATTAGGACCAGGACCTTCGGTACCTGGTGGATGTACTTTGGGGAGCTCAGTCCGCTTTGAGCGGCTGGAAAGACCTTCATGATTTAATGCTGGTGCGCTGGGAGAAGCATTTGGACTGGAGCCCATGGAACTGCATCCTCCTCACGAAGGAAGAGGCCGCTGCACATCTGAAAATGGAGAACATCGAGAAGGTACTGTGGCTACAACTGCTTTTGAATGAGTTTCACACTTAGAATGTTTAAACATCAAACCGCTACTCAGTAAATTATATAATAGCAGATATTTATAGCGTTAGTTCACCAAAAAATGTAAAAACTGTCCTTTACTCACCCTCATGTCGTTCCAACCCCGTAAGCCTTTTGTTCATCTTCGGAACACAAATTAAGATATTTTTTTTTATTAAATCGGAGAGCTTTCTGACCCATCATAGACAGCTACACAGCTACCAGTTTGGCGCTTCAACAAGTTCATAAAGAGATCGTAAAACAAATCCATACGCAGCACGTTTGAGCTTTAACAAGAACCAATGAGGTTCATTCTCGTGTTACGGCGTACGTTTGAGCTTCAGCAAGAACCATTGAGGTACATTCTCGTGTTTTACCCAGCACGTTTGAGCTTTCGTAAGAACCTATGAGGTTTGCTCTGGCGCGTCAAGCATGTTAGGTTGAGCTTCTGCTTAAGTTCGCTGATCAATGCTATTCTATGTGAATCAAAGACTAAATTAAATCTGTTCATTATACAAAGCGATCAAGTGTTTTATGAACTTTTTGAAATGGTAGTTGCGTAGTAGTTGTGTGTCAACGGAGGGACAGAAAGATCCCATCAAAAATATCCTAATTTGTTTGGAAAGACTTGATGGTGGGTAATTAATTAATGAATTTTCATTTTTGGGTGAACTATCCTTTCAAGAACTATTAGACTAATCTAAGTATTGAAACTAAGTGGAGTAAAACATTTTTAGAGGTGAGCAGAGTGAAAACCTAATCTGCCAAAACTCTATAATCATGACTATTCACTGTACACCAGTCACATATACAGAACACATTGTCTCCCACCACTTGAATGCAAACCTATATGTCCCACCATACAAATGCCCACTCTTTTCACTTGCAGGCATACGATGTGGGATTGATCCGTAATGTTAAGCAGAAACACGCACTGTCCAGGAAGTACTTCTCTCAGATACCTGCGATGGCCGAATGATTCAGCCTGATGCCCTCGGCAAACTAACTATCGCTAAGAGGCTACCCACAATCCTGTGAGGTGCTCAGGGACATATGCAGCTTCACCATTTCTCTACTTCAGACAGTTTAAGCGTTATTCCTCAAGATCATTTATCGAATTTGAATATCTTATATGATAATTAAAACCGAGAGTTACTGGGCCTCTCTCCGTTTTATTTTCCATTCTTCGGGATCATTCATTAATGTTTATTAGTTATCATTAGGCAGTAAATGAGCAATGAGTTTTATGTTTTTTGATAACTTCTTTGGTATTTTGTTGGTAAAACAAGCAGCAACACTACAATCCTGTGAAAATTGCAGGATTGGCATGTTTTCCATTGTTAAACTTGAGTACAAAAGCTGCATTTAAAAGGGAGATCAGACAGATAAAAAAATTAAAATCTCTCCATGATTACTCCATAATGCCACCACCACGTAAGAATGAATTGAAACATTATTTCCCGGAACACTTTGAAAGCCTTAAAAAGCTACAGTTCAAGAGGTTTTAATTAGGCCTTTGCAAATGATATATAGCCTAGCTCTAATCAGGAGGTGAGCAATCTAAGATCTGCAATTATAGGAAAAGGTCAAGGATGTCCTCCTGCGTTTCCTTCTGAACAAACGTGAACGAAACCATCAGCAGCACCACAGGACTAACTGCTAAAAAGAACAACTAGCGATGAAAGGTTTGACTTTTATTTCTGTCCCTCCATGGCGTGAGAGTTTATTAGAAGAGCTCAATAAAACTGTATTTATTAGACATTTGGCTTATCATGTTCTTTGGCAATTGGCCAAACCCTATCTCTGTTGTTCTGTGATACTTAATCAACTTCAAAAGTAAAACTAGACAGAACTGATAACAAAAAGGCTGCTAATAGAGTAGTAGATGATAAACGCGAAAAAGCAAGTTGGCAAATAGGACTAAAAGATGCTTTTGTTGTCGATCTACATTATTGTAGTGAGTGATGCACTTTAAAGAGCATTTTTTGTTATTGAGTAAGAGGAATACCAGCATTTTTCTTTTTGCAGGTTCCTGCATCTTTAAAAACTGTCTTGCTTACTGTTATCCTGCTTTAACAAAGAAATCGCTTTTGTTTTCTGAAATGAAGGTATTATGAAAAAACTGGGCAGGCTCTTAGAGCAACGTGAGGTTGTTAGGTTATTGTTTGATCTTTTCGCTTAAGTTGTCTGAGTATGAATAAAGTAAGTCAAAGGTAAGTCAAGATTTTCTACATTATTTTTCACACCAGTATTGTGCAATCTTTTGTAATCTTTGAACAGTGGAAAAGGCTTTTGATCTTTATTATGCTCATGTTATTGATAACTAATTTGTGGAGTTTTATGTAATCTCTGATGGAGCTGTTCTGTTGGTTCCTTGAGAAGGCTTGAGGATTGCGATTAATGTGTAATAGTACAAGGGAAAAAGAGAGTGTTTTGTAAAACCACTGAGCCCAAGTTATCCAATGATGTTTCAAGGAAACACCATTTTGCATTTCAGATCCTTGGCAATCCTGACTGTAAAATGACAATGAGGTCATGAAGTCATAACTTCAACAAGCATCAACTAACCTCGACGACAGCTTCAGACAATTACAGATAGGTCCTGGTCATAGGCCAGCTCCTTGTGACTTTTTCCACTGGATTTTCAAGTTTTCCATTGGCACATTTTACATTATATGATTCACAAAGTTATGGAAACCTTTTTCCGCCTCAGTTTTAAAAAAAAAGTTATTTAAATCTGTAAGAAATAAAGTTTCAATTTTGAGATGTAAAGTTGCAATTATGTGAAATAAAAAATTGTCTCTATAGAAGTCATGATTATACATAAATAGTCAAAACTGTAAGAAATAAAGTCGGAATTGTTTAGAAGTACTGTAAATGAGTGTGAGATTTGAAGTTGCGATTACGTGTTAAATTTGTGATTATGGAGAAATAATTGCAATTGTAAGAGTGTAAAGTCAAAATTATGAGAAATATTTTAAAAATATTTTTTATTTATTTAATCATTTTTACTGCAAGTCAGAAAGGGGCTTTCATACAAAATTGTGAGCATTACAGTAAAAGCTTGAAAAAGATAAGAGTTTACATATCTCTTTTCATTTTAATGTATTTTTCTTTTCTTTTTTTCTTTTATGTTTCCCAGAGTTCAACTTCGAATTCTTTGGAAACAAACCCCAGTACGGATTATCACCTGCTGTGTGATTTCTGAGAGTTTGTGTTTATGAAGTCTCCCAGGTTGTTGTTTAACAGACCCCAGTACAGAGCCAGATTAGGGCCGAATATGGGAAACGGTGATGACGTTTGCTGTTAGGAGAAAAAGTGCGAATTCCAGGTCACTGTCTGTGGCAATGTCTCGTGTAAGTGGGTTTATTGTATATAATGGTGTTGCTTTTATAATCTCATATGCAAATTTGTTGTTATCTTTGGTCATAAAATGTAAATATAAATGGATCAGGTTTGGAGGGACTTACATGAGCTGGCTGGCAGGAGCCTAATCTTAAAGCTTAATCTCCATGGCCATAAGGCTTTATGACATGACTGGAATGGACCAGTAACAGGGGATGCGGATGGCACCAGGGCAAAGATTAATCAGCGGCACATTATTTAAAGGCCAGCATAAGACAAAGTCCCTAAGTTGACTCCGTTTCACTCACAGAATGAGGCGGCTATCTTGGAGCTTCGTGAAACCCCTAATCATCATTTGCACACCATTGGCATTGCTACCACTGCCACTGGTCATCAAAACAAAGGTTAGACATGCTTGTGCAGAGACTTTCTATATGGTCAGCTCTGAATGAGAATAATGTAATGAAGTAAGAATAAATGAACCTTGTCTTTTCTTATTATATTATACTGCATGTTTTCTGAAATACTTTTGCAGATCCTTTTTGCCTTTGAAATATCTTTAAAAATAACTTCAAGCAAAAGCTATTTTTTACAAAAGGACATTTTGATAGCCATATGTCTGTTTGTCTTCTAAATGGATATAAACACTGATTTCATGTCCGCTAGGAAGCAGAATGTGCGTACGTCCTGATATTAATGGCTGTGTACTGGATGACGGAGGTCTTGCCTCTGTCTGTGACGGCACTTCTCCCCGCGCTGCTTTTCCCTCTTTTTGGGCTCATGAAGTCCTCCCAGGTATACTTTCCTGAGCCATTTGCTTTACTCTTGAAAAACAAACCTGACTGCAATGTTTATGGACTACTAATGTGGATGTCATTGACCGGCCATTATTCTTTAGGTTGCCTCTGCATATTTCAAAGACTTCCACTTGTTGCTTCTTGGGATCATCTGTCTAGCAACAGCCATTGAGAAATGGGGTCTTCATCAGAGAATTGCCCTCAGACTGGTGACTGCGCTTGGAGTCAACCCTGGCATGTAAGACTTTTGTTTTATTTAGATATGTGGTATGTTGTGATGATTTATTGTAGGATCGACAGATGCAAACACTGCTTGTTTACTGTGAAATGTGTTTCACAGGTTGATGCTGGGGTTCATGGTTGGCTGTGCTTTCCTCTCCATGTGGTTGAGCAACACCTCAACTGTGGCGATGGTAATGCCAATTGTGGAGGCAGTGATCCAGAAGGTTTTGAATGCAAATGAAGAGGCTAACAAAGACCACAAGGGGGCGTTAAGTGGAATCTCCAACCCTGCTCTACAGCTTGAAGGTAAGCTGGTGCAGCTTTCATTTAACTTGAGTAATGCATCATCATTTTAACCTTTAACCTTCTATTTAAAAGGGCAACATTTAACATTAAACATCTGCTTTCAGATATTGAGGCCCAGTGTGACCAGTCTGAGAAGATGAAAAGGTAAACAGGTATAAAATTACCACAAAAAAACAAACAAAAAAAAACAACAACAACAAAACAGAAAATGTATTATATGTATTATTATTATTATTTTTCTTCTTATAGCATTGAAGCGGGTATTACGGAGACAATTCAGACAGCTCCTGAGGAACCAGACACTGTTAAGGTCAGAAATAGTACACGTTCTGACATTAAAACTCACAAACACAAAATTCTTCTCCTTACCTTAATGTAAAATGTTTTTTCTCAATAATTTAGGCACCAACTCCACCGTATAATGGGAAGTACAGGACCCGTGAAGATCACATGATGTGCAAAGGATTGTCACTTAGCATTGCCTACGCTTCATCAATTGGAGGGCTGACCACATTATCAGGAACATCCACAAACCTTATATTTGCTGAATACATCTATCAGTGAGTTCAGGACTTACCTTTAAACTGATGTGTGCAACTTTATTAGTATTAATATATTATTGGATTTGGTCAGTCTATCCATCTAAACTCACATGCTGTGAACTTTCTTGACCTTCCTCAGGTACTACCCAGAATGCACCATCATTAATTTTGGAAACTGGTTTGTGCTTTGTCTTCCCATCTGCATAATTATGCTGATTTTGTCATGGATATTCCTGCATTGGATGTTCCTTGGTTCCAAGTGAGTGATCGTAATGTCTTCTATTTAATAATTCGTTCCCTGACCCTCCTCTGTCCCTCATTTTTACTGTTTATCTCAAGATTTCATTTAAATTCATCATTTCAAATCACGCTGCCCTTAGCATTTTTCCCACCTCACCACTTCAGCTTCATCGACGTGTCTTCATTCTTCTTCACCCTGCTCCGAGCCTCCCGATCTCATCGCTCTAGGATAATCATGTTTCATTGAGCAGACATTTTCATCAACTGCCAAGATTTTCTTCTTAGAATCACTCACAGAACAGTGACGCATGGCGTCACGACAGATTGTTTGCATGCGTAGTTTAAATAGATTTTTGTCATATACAAAGATTTAAGTCAATTGGTCCACTCATCAAAATTAACTGCATGTATGCATTGAAATGGCAGTGAATGAAGCAAACAATAAAAGTATATCTGCGTCTCATTCATCCCTAGCTTTCGTGCCAGTCTGTGCTCCAGACAGAAATCCGAAAGGGAAAAAAACACTGCCAAACTGCTTCTGGATCAGTACAACTCACTGGGGCCCATATGGTAGGAACTCTTTCTTTATATTTTTTAAGGCTCTTAAAACTGTAAAATGGACTTAATTTTCACAAATATATAAAACATAATGTATTGCTCAATGGCAACATAGTTAGTGTGTAATGTTGCTGTTTGAGGATATAAGGTCAAAAATCCACATTAACAGAATCAAGAACAGACTGCCAGACTAGGGATAGAGGTGTTGTTGTGAGAATGTAAAATGCATGAAAAATAATGTTTTTTAAACAATCAAGCATTAAAACATAGTATACCCCAAAAACAAAATCAAGACTTATTAAAAGGGGATAATAGGACCCCTTTAAAACTGGAATACACCACACAAATTTTAATACACTGGGCATCATGGAGTTGCCACCTTTAAAAATAGTTCATAGAAAAGCTGGTCATTATTTCCTATATGAGTGTGGATTGTTGTGTCTGAACACAACAAAAGTGTGCAGAAACACGAAGCTTGTAGCTAGGAGACGGATGACAAATGAAAACAATACAATCACCTCAAACTATCAAACATTCTCAGAAAATCTGTCAAATCTGACAGACTCCTCCAGAATGCAAATCAGGGCATATATTGTTGTGTTTAGGACGATGAAATGCTTGAATTGCTGACCATTTCTCTATATCACTGTTTCTCTTCTGATCCAGCTCCCAGGAGATTATCACCCTGGTCATCTTTATTCTGATGGCGATATTATGGTTTACGAGAAACCCGGGTTTCATGCCAGGCTGGTCATCACTGTTCTCTGAGTGAGTGTATTCATATTTTTCAACGGTTTTTGATTGAGTACAGAAAACTCCTGCACTTCATCCTCTTCAATACTTGTCTTTAGACTTCTTATTTATCCTTTGTATGCTGTTATTTCCTCAGTCAACCAGGTTACGCTACGGATGCCACTGTAGCACTGTTGCTGGGTTTCATGTTCTTCATCATCCCTGCACACAAACTAAAAGTAGATCACTATGGTACGGCTTATTAATGTCCTTTGTGCATTTGTGAAAACCTTCCGAATGATTAGAGGCTCAGTGTTAGCAGTTTTGTTTCTGATTAACGTTGTCGATCCCTGTGACAGAGGCCTTGATTACGTGGAAGGACTTCCAGGCCTGTATGCCATGGGAGATCAGTCTGCTCGTGGGTGGCGGTTTTGCTTTGGCTGAAGGAACAAAGGTGGGATCATGATTTAATGGAAACTCATCTATATTTGTAAGAAAAAAAAAGAGAAATGAATAAAGAAGTGCAAGACAGCATTAATAGATCAATCAATTACTGGTACTTTTTACAGGCCTGGATTCAATTAAAACAGGCCCGTCTGATTCACTGGTGGCTTTGGACAGACTTGGACAGCTCAATTGCTCCCTTTACTCATCATTTTAAAACATTCATTTCTTTGTAGAAGAAATAAATGAAAAGACAGATCACATCAAAGCCTCGTAACAGCGTGCAGCCCATTAACGTCGCGAGGAGAACAACAATTTTACTGTGTCACTCTCAGTCTGCTTTGACGTTCCATTTAAGCTAATTACATGCCTCCATTATAAGACTGGCACTGAAGCGCGTCGTTTCAGCATAACGGCTCCTTCTTCATGTCAGTCGCAAAAACTTGAAACAAGAGCGTCTACTTCTTAATATTCTCCTGGTGTAGGTGGGCTGGGGTAAGGGTCTTATCATCAAGGCTCCAGCGCTGTTTTGATACAGACACCCAAATGTCACGGCAAGTCCAGTCTTTAAAATGTTCAAAGCAGAAAGGGTGACTACTGTGCTGCATTCTCCATGTCAGGCTGTCTGCATGCCATATCTTGACAAACAGTTAAATTGCAACTCCAGACTCTGTTGACAAGCATACAAAGAGATGTTGGTACATTTATCAAAGTTCACAAATATCTTGGTTGGACACTTTCCCTCACCTTCCAAAGATGATCTGACAATTTTCCTTTATTTTTCACCCGACAGATTTCTGGTTTATCGTCTTGGTTTGCTGAATTGCTGACTCCCTTGGGAAGCCTTCCTCCTTTAGCTACTGTCACCATTGCCTGTCTTATTGTTACCTCTATCACAGAGGTGGCCAGCAATGCTGCCACAACGACAATCTTTTTGCCAATACTGGCCTCCTTGGTACGTGTTATTTCAATATATGTAAAATATAATGAATGTTACTTTTATGTCACTTTTTTTGGGGGCTATTCTCATCACAAATGATTTTGTCAGGCTGAGGCAATTGGAGTCAACCCTCTATTCATGCTGGTTCCCATGGCCCTGTGCGTGTCCTTTTCGTTCATGCTTCCGGTTTCTAATCCTCCTAATGCCATTGTCTTCACATACGGTCATCTTACAACCTTGGATATGGTGAGTCCCTAGGATTTTGTTCTTGTACTTTGCATTGTAGATTTCATAATGTATCAAAGGTAAATACTTGTATACAGTAACTAACCTTTGAATGGTTCCTTGTCACTATAGGTAAAGGCAGGGCTGGGTTTAAATGTTATAGGCATTCTTACAGTCCTATTAGCCCTTACAACATGGGCACCACCTCTGCTTCATCTGGACACCTACCCAGACTGGGCACCAGTGGTAAACAGCACTGGAGTATGACCATCAATGTGAAAATCATAGAATTGTGGACAGTTTAGTAATAGAGTTACACGGGATCCCTCACAGTTGGCTGATTTGTTGACTGGGCAACTTTCACAATCCAAATGTTTACTTGTTTGGATCACTTGGGCAACCAGCATGCCTTTAGAAATACAACAGACTGAATGCTCAACATGTCTTTGCGTAAACATACACGCCACTTTCAAGTCAAGTGGCGTGTTATCTATACGCATTTTGAGCAATCCGTGTGTATGTCCACGCCGAAACGAACCGTCATCTTTTGCATGTATGTCTACGCCGTTAAACGTATGAGTGATTCCGCGTGTATGTACACGCCGTTAAATGTCTGAGCGAAATTAAGCAAAATGTAGATCTACATCTGGGGAGCGATATTTTTTTTCCTAGAATGGTAGGGGAAGACTCATAAATGGTATTGAACCCAGTGACAGGTAGGTCATATATTTATATATACAGTAATGTAACGATAGCACGGCAAAAATGGAAATACGAATTGGCGTGTCATACATACTGTACGCAATTTCATGAGATCAGTCTTGAAATACAACAGACTGAATGCTTTGGGTTCTAGGAGATGTTTGGTTTGAACATCATTGTTTATATATTTTTGTATTATAAGCAGTTTTATTAATCTTTGTGATAATTGTGTCAAATTTGTAATTCCTTTTGCCATTTATTCTTTTGAGGTGTTCAGAGACTAGTAAACGCTGTTTAAAACTGGATGCTTCGGTGAACAATGTGTGCACCATTAAACAGTACAATGTTTATACAAAATGTATTGTATATATTAAAAAAATGTCTTAAATTCTAAGAAGAATTTGTGTGACAGGGTTAGTCCCGACGGTAAACATAGCACTTAATGTTATATATGATTGTATTTTTGTTATACTCAAACATATTGTATAAGTATAATTGAACTGTATAAGTAGAATGTTGAAATTACACTGTGAACAAAGGAAAGAGTAAAGGAGTAAATAACAGACAACATCTCATGTTCAACTTCAGACATCTACTTATTACAGACTTGCACATAACAGTGGCCAGCAAATAATTAAATAAGTTACTATAAAAAAGTGCCCATTTTTAGCTTTCTCTCCTGTTGAGTTTTAAGGGCATTAGTGAGAGTATTCAATATTTTTTTAGGTCAGATAACATTGTTAAATTTACAATGTGTTTTTGTTTGTTTCAATACTATTTTAAAATTTACCTCACAGAATACTGCACTTTGAATGTAAACTCAGAGTTAACATCTATTGTTCATATGTGCTCCTTGTGAGATGTTTCTTGTTACGACTAAAACTGTGAGAAAGTTACTTTTGTCCGTGTGTTCTTTGAAAATTATTTGTCAATATAAGTCCATGTGGACACAACGTAGAGTCAAGTCAGTCTGGAGTGGACATGTGCTTCACTGTTTTTGCAAGATGAACAACAACATTTAAATAAAATACTGGTACAACCATTCATAGTCATCCTGTTCTAGGGGGATTTCATACTGATTTTAAAAAAACAATGCTTTGAAAAACTGTTAACTGAACGATTGTCTCATCTCTAATTACTGAATCCCAAAATTAAATGTTTTGAAAAATCTAGTCAGGGTGGCAGCATTATCAAAGAGATTCAAAAGGCAGATTAGCTTTGATGAAATGAGGTTACAGAGAAAAATTGTCATCCGTTTATGTCTGCAGTGGAGGTTGTTTGAACATAATGCACATACACAGAAAACAGCTCTGAAAGTATCAATCTCAATAAAATAACGTCTTCCCATTTTCATTAGGAGGGAAAACTACAATAATAAAAACATATAAGACTTCAGAACTCATGTAAAACAAAAGAGGAGGCACTAATGTGCCATTTAAATGGGCTTGGGCTACTATTTGTTCTCAAAGTGAGGCAGTGATGAGAACTAATTCTGTAATCCACCGACATTATCAAAATTTATGCTGGGATCCTCCAGACATTGTAATTCAAGGTCACTGTTCAGTAATGTCTGATTTAATGACATTCTGTATGAAGGGTCTAATCTGATTATGTATTAATACTTATTTCTTATACTTAATTATGGAGCAAGGACTATTAAGTTGAACCTTTAGGAATAGCTTTTCTCCAAGCACTGAGTCATCATCATCATATCATTTCTCTCTGGGCACACAGGTCAGCAAGCTGAATATGAACTGTGGTTTGCTTTAATTGTTCAGATATTTGTCACATGAAATTTCCATTATTAAATTAGGTTTCCCTTGACACTGGGTGAGGTGCCTTTTCACTGTCTGTGACCAATTTATTTCTGAATCTACCTTTTCACCCTCTCTATTAGAAATGAATGACTTGTGGTTCAGTCTGTGGAAAGCAGTGAAAAGGTTCCTTTAGTCAAGGCAGAAGGTGAGTGACCGTTAACCACTGTTTAGGATATTTTGTGCTTGTAATTAATGCGTGCCGCACTTACCTCAAATTATCTGTGACTGAAAATGGCTGTGAGGGTACATTTTGTAATGATTGTAATATTTTTCACTTTGCTGTCAATTCATATTGATGGAATATTTCAGAAAATCCCTTCCTCTTGCAGCCACATCTATTTTCGGATGAAGTGTTCACTGGTAAGGGCGAGACAACCTGTCACTCACGAGATCGGAGCAATAGCAAGCGACAACGATTCAGTGATCCAGTCAGTGATGGACAAAATCAAGTCCTGTCGAACACAATTTTTCTTGTTTGAGAAGCTGTTTGAAAAGGTTGAAAAAAGTTTGTCAAAAGTCCCCAGATGATCTACTATTTCCGGTAGATGTTTTGAAGTGTGGATCCATGCACACTCTAAAGGCTAAGTATTGCCCACAAAAACAGTAGGCTATGTGACAAAAAGTATGTCTGAATATAGAGTAGTCATAATAGAGTAGGTAAAAAGTACCCGGATGACCTATAGTACTTCTTCTGGCAGGAGTCTGGGGTGTGTATGATGGACACTTTACTAATAACCCATGAGGCCACGGAGAGGATTTGTGATGACACTAAAGCTGGTAGGTCACATGATAATGACAACACATTGCGAATGTAGTATAGTAAATTCAGTTTACTTTCATACTACACATATTCATAGAGCATACTTTTTAGCAGCTGTGAACTAATTACTAAAAAAATAAGTTACTAGCAATTTTGGATGTAGACACACATTGGCATTAAATTTAATTATTTCTTCCTTTTGCATAGCCATGACGTTTTGTGAATTATACACTTATATGTGCAAATGTGCAAACCAATATATTTTGGTGTAAAATGAAACAAGAATAGGCATAAAGTTGTGTCGGAATCTACAGACTGCACCTTTAAGAAGGGAACCTCCCACGTGTTGCATGTTGTCCATGCCACAGGTTGCCTACCTGTCTCGCATAACTCTGCACTCCACACACTCGCGCTTTCTTCTCAAGAGAGAGAAAAAAGAATGTGGCTCAATCCCATCGTCATCGAACCGTTCTCGAACTGACTCCGCCCTCAAAAGTCTCGCGACTGACACATTTTGTCATTCTCCCAGAAAGAAAAAAAAAACAGCTTTTTTGGTCGAGGTTGTCAGAAACCTCTCGGGTTTCGTAGCTTTTCCCACAGCTGTGAGGAGTTGTCGTCTCTTGACTGTCGATAATGCTGGACCCGTCCTCCAGCGATGAATCTGAGGGAGAACTACCACCTGAGGACGAACCGCCCGTTAAACCTGGGAAACCTGTTAAAAAGAGTACCAAACCCGAAAAGACGTCGGACGCCCCGCGTATCCAACCCAAGGAACATGTCCCTTCTCCAGCTGAGGTGGACAAAACCGAGCAGGAGAGAATTAAGAAAGAGGAGACGGAGAGGAAAATTAAACTACAGATTTATGTCTTTGTGTTGAGATGTATCGCATATCCATTCAACGCGAAACAGCCAACAGATATGGCTCGTCGTCAGCAGAAGGTGAGTGACCGTTAAACATTGTTTACAATATTTCGCGCTTGAAATAAATGCGCGCGAACTGCACTTAACCTAATAAGTCAATCTACTGATATTGGCGCTTCCAAACTTCTGTCTTTTTACAAAAGTTTTTTTTTACAGGTTTTAAAAATATTTGTAAGTCTGACAACTGCAAATTCTTGTGCATCACACTCACATGGGTGACTGAAATATGTTTATTTACTGCCCATTTACCTGTGTCAGTTATGAACTATGTAGAGGATCAAGCTAAATCAATTAAGCATTGATAAAATAAAATTTAGATCTGATTAAGATGAAATTTATCTCTGTAGCTAATTCAGTTTTTTTTACTGTCTATTGTCCCTTTTAAATAAAAGTATATTAAAAATAAAATAAAATAGTGCAAGCAAAGGTTAGTATCACGCTTTAACCCTCTCATTCTAAGTTAGAACATCTTTGATAGCTTTTTTTGTGTGCAAAAGTCTGACATCCTTTAACAAATCCTTTTTAGGTATGTTGCTTATGTGACAATGAAATGAAATCAATCATGCTTTTATTTATTAAAAAATGTGTAGTGAAATTGAGGGATGTTAAATAATGTTAAACAACTTTCTTTTATTTAAGATTAGTGTGTTTTTACACTAACTGCAACATGACAATCTTTATAGAATTTACTATTATAAACCTTTTACCATAATCCACCTGAAATGTAAATTTCTAAAAAGTTTATTATAATAATTAAATAATGCATGTATAAAAAAAACATGACCCCTGATATATGCACAATATTCCTCATTGCATAAATAACATGGCATAACAATATGACCTATTTATGATGTGAGAAAAAAAACGAGTAAAATTGCTTTTCTGAAGACAGTTCTCCAGAGCAAAAATGAGCAACTCTGTGCTCCATGCCAGAAAAGGATCTTAAAATGACCACCAGGATGTAGTGTGACCAAGAACAACTTTTTATTGCTTCATGACATCTCTTCATATTTCTGTTGTCAGATTATATGCAGCATGTGCTTAAAATGTGTACAAATGGATTTGTTACTCTGAGGTAACAGCGTGCAATATCACTGTACATACAAAAGCATAATTTTGATCATTTCAGGGGTTACTCTTGGTCACACTGCGTCATGGTAATAATTTTGATAAAGTTTTTGGTGTAGTATATTGTGCATAGACTTAAAATTCTGTCATTCCAAACCAATGCTTTCTTTCATCTTCGGTTCACAAATGAGAGAATAATAAAAAAATCTTTTTGATCATAATTACATTGATGCTATAATTCTAAGTGTCCCCATATGTCTGTGAAGTTTCATTAACAGAATATTTAGATTGTTGATTATGTAGCTGAGGCACTCTTGTGTTTCCAATAGCTGC